AGTAGTCTTGTGTTTTCTTAGAAAGTTAGAAATGGATATAGCACCAGCCTAGCAATCCCATTAGTAAGTATATATTCCAAAGAAATAAGAGAATATATAGGCTCCCATGTCCATTCGGGCATTATTTACAACAGCGAAGAGATGGAAACAACCCAAGCTGTTCTCCATTCATCAATGGAAGAATGACTAAATAAACCATGGTACATTTACACATGGTGTACATTTTTTTGCAACACAAAAAACCAAGAAAGAATTCACAGAACACTGCATAATATGGATGCATCTAGAAGACATTATGCTAAGTGAGTAAGTCACAAAGGGCTATTACAGTGTAAGACCACTAGTACTAAAAAAGTAAGGAAAGGGAGCTCTGGTGGCCTAGTGGCAAGATGCTGCACTGCAATCCCGGAGGTATGCGGTTCAAATCCACCAGATGCTCTGCTGGAGTAGGAGGGGGCAGCCTCCTCCTGTACCAGTCAGATCTGATTTGACGGTACACGTAAAATAATACAATAAAATAAATAAATAAATAAAAAGTAAGGAAAGGTTTACACACAGAATCATTCTTCCATGGAAAGGGGAGTAAAAATTAATGAATGTATCAATAAGATATTGATCAGACACTGTAATTAATTAATTATAATTAATGTTATAAGAATGAATGGCATTGCAATTACAATCTTATATAAAATAAAATGTATATGGATGATCAAACGAATAATCAACAAGATTTATAAACTAAAAATTATTTTTCAACAAAATTAGATATTTCCCTGTTAAAAAAAAGTCCTGTTTTTAAATAATTTTATCAATTTGAGGATTGTTGTTATGTATCATTGAGTTGGAACTGATTCATAGTTGACCCTCCAACGGGTTGTCAGAAGCAGTAATACAGGTTCATAGTTTGGGCACATGGTGAGGAGAGACCAGTCCTTGGAGAAGGACATCATGCTCAGAAGGGTGGAGGGACAGCACAGGAAAGAAGACCCCGGATGAGATGGATTAATATAGTAACTGGGGCAATGGGTGTTGGTGTGTCAGAATCAGTGAGACCAGCTCAGGACAGGGCAGGTTTCAGAGCTGGTGCACATAAGGTCGTTATGGGTTGCAGGCAAATCTATGGCACATCACAACAATATAGGTTCATAATGGGACATAGTTTGCCTCTGCTTGGTAATGCAAACATATTTATTTGTATATATACAAATAGACACTATATGCTTTTGAGTATCAGTATCAGCCTTTCCATGCATGACAACCCCCTGGGTTTCAGAGTAGAACTAAAGTTTCTGGCTGTAATCTTAGATCACTGGTCACTCTGCCATGAACTCATGGGGTTTGAACTGCCAACCTTTTGATTAACAGCCACGTACTAAACCACTGTGCCGTCAGACTCCCTGAAGATGGCTCTCACATTTCTAACTACACCAAAGCTGTGTCCACATTTTCCTGGTCCTTCCCTTGCTAAACCTGGCCTGTCCTCCTACCTCCCTCCTCCAGGTTTCATTTACAAAGGCAAACAGGAGGAATGTGTCTTGGACTGTCCATAGGACTAAGTTGTGAATGCTATTTTTGCAAAAAATAATACCACCAAGGGAAAAAATAATCAGAATGTTACCAGCAGGTGGTGCTTATAAAGTTTTTATTTTCCATTTTCTTAAAAATAACATTTGATTTCCTTTATGCATGTGTGGAGTGTACTTGTTCCTTAGGCTGAATAATAGGCAGATAAGACAACATGAGGAGGGGGTTCCCAAGTGGAGGGGGGGCGTGGGGAGGGGCATGGGGAGGGGCACAGGGGCACAGGGGGAGGGCGGGTGAGCCACAGGACACTTGAGTGCCATCAATGCACACACACGGTCTAACACTTTGTTTTTCGATTTTTTTAAAGACATCTAAAATTACTGAGATACAATTTCAGCACTTAAATATACAGACGGAAATCCAAGCACTTGAACACAATTGTTAACTCTAAGCTCAGTTATTGCACATGACACAGTTTAAGGAGGCTTCAGGCTAGAAAGCAGTTTGCTCTGCTTGGGACTTCCTCAGGATGTCTTGAGTCTCCTTTTGCACCCCCAGTGTCTCTTCCCTTTGACCCCTGCCTGCCCACAGCCTGACAATGACCCCAGGGATCAAAGGTCAGCTATTCCTTCTCCTCACGGGCTGCGGGCTCAGAGCTTTGGTGAAATGGAGGGTTGTGATGTTGATACCAATGGGCCCCACTCAGGGTGAGCTGGAAGCAGATGGAGATTATGAAGGACTGAAGGGGGGGCAGGGGAGGAGGTGTGACCCCATGGGGACACAGGCAGTTCTAACATCCCTCATATCAGCTTTGCCTCCCTCCTACCTTCCTGAGCACTCAGCCACACCTCTTCCCCGGCACCCAGGGGCTCTCTCTGAGTGGTCCCTCAAGGCACATTTATTCTCTCAACCCCCAGCCGCCCGCCTCTCAGACATGCCAGCCTCTCCCAGCGTGTAGGAGGCCCCTCCAAGAAACTTCTCAGGAGTCTCGTTGAGTTTCTCCAGGCAGTTCGAATTGCTCTTGGCCCCAAGAGAGGGCACCAGTGTAGGGGGCATGAGAAGGTGGGTGTCAGGCCTCAAGGTCAAGGGCATTAATCCAACCGCTGAGGAAGCCCCTGACCTGCAACCTCCTTCCTGAAGACATCTCAAGCTTTTTGGCCAAAAAGTGACTCGGAGGAACAGCACTCTGTGTCTTGGGGGTGGAGTGGCCTGGGTCTCACAGTGGCGGGAAGAGCAACGTGGGGGTTCAGAGACAAGGGAAGACTGCCCCACCAGGTCCAGCCCGTTTCTCTTTCTTTCTGACACATATTTACAAGGTCACAGAAACGTGCACAATCAGGAGACCCGGCGACAGCAAGCACACACGCACTCTGGGGTGGGGGGCAGTGAGAGCAGAGGGGGCCCGTCTCCTGCCGCCCTCCCCACCCGGGACGCCCCAGCATTCTCAGCAGCTGCCCTGCGCAGGGCAGTTCCAAACGTCCGAGTGGGGACAGAGGGGAGAGACACACGAACTCCAGTCCGGGCGAGAGCAGAAGTTTCAAGTAGCTCCAGGCGGTGGAGCAGGCCGGCAGTGGAGGGCCGCCCCAGAGTGGAAGTTTCCCTGGACTGAGCCAGGGACCCTGGGGGTCAAGCACGAGAGCAGGGGCAGGAGGAGGCGGTGGAGTGTCTGGAGAAGCGACACCTCCGCGCTTAGGGCTGTGCTGCGGAATGAGAAGCAGTTTGCGGTGCTAACTGGAACTGCGTCCCAGATGGGGAAGGTGTTGATTCGGGGGTGGTTCAAAGGGCAAAACAGGGTGAGATTTTTCCAGAAAGTCCAATGGGTGCTGGGCTAGCGGAGGCTGGGAGAGACGCTTGTGGAAGGCAGGCTGTAATCTTCCCGAAGCCTCATCACAGTGACCCCACACCCCAAATCCCACCCCTCGCAGCTGCACCCCGCCCACAACAATCACAGGCCCTCAGCATGGCCTCAGGTGTGCACACCTGCGCATGCCCGCACAGACACATGCACCCGCGCAACAGAAGCAAACCATACACGCCCACTCGCAGACACATGCACGCACACAGCACACACTCACAAACACTCCTTCATCCACATGCACCCTTGCACACCGTGCTCACGACAAGCTGAAGGGCATGGGGGGGACCCCATTCTAGGTAAGAAATCTTTCACCAAAATTGTATGGGAATTGGTTACAACAGAGGTGAGCAGATAAGGGAAAGAACCGGCCCTTTCTCATCAAAACTGGCTCCCCCCTCACAGAGATTGGGGAGAACAGTGAAGTGTGGCTTCAGAGTCCTGTTGCCCCAGTCCTGTCTGCTCTGATGTGCCAAACACTACACATTTCTAAACAGGCTGGGGGGACCTCATTGCAGAACAGCAGGGGAGCCGCTGAAGAGAAAGGGAGACCCAGGGCTGAGGAGAGAGGCCTCGGAACAACCACTGAAGCCAGAGGAAGATGCAGGAAAAGTGCTGAGTCCAGGACTTACGACAGAGCTGCTGCTCTCAGCTGCTCTTCAGTTAAGGGGTCTCAGCAGGGGTGCATTAGTCAGTCACAAGGTCAGAGAAGTAGGAGCACATACAACCCCGCTAGCCAAGACCTAGGCCCCTCACTGCTACTGCTGATCCTCAGACTCTCTAAAGTGGACAAGGGAACCAGAGCAAGAGGGTGAATGGGGAGCTCTATGACACGGAAGCCAGACAGCTGGTCACCTGCATGGCCCCTGCCTATGCCCCTCCAGGTTGCCCCCTCCCTCCCTAAAATGTCCAGCCTGCAACTGTGCACCCCCTGCTGGCCAGCCCTCCTCCTCCTCACTCCGCCCCCCTGACACCCAGTAGGGACCTCAAGCCTTCTCCCCTGCCTCTCAGGGCTCCCCTCCTTCCTTCTCAGCACCTGTGGTCCCATCAGCCTGGGTAGTAGGGCCTCCCAGCCATTGAGAATCCAGTACCAGAAAGGAGCTCGCTACAGCTAGATGTCCTTGTGCATCCATCTGAGGCTAAAAGGGATGACACTCAGCCAGCAGAGCTGTGTGTAGAGGAGACCCTCCCTCGGGCCACAGTTTGACCACAGAGGATGGAGAAGAGTCAGCGCAGGCAGGAGGAGGGTGCAGAGCTGTGGAGCCAAGGGCCTCAAAGCAGATCAAGGAATCCAGGATGTCAGGTGGGGCTAGGCTCAGTTAGGGATGTGGCTGGGGGCTTCCCATTTCCTCAGTTTTGACTTTGTGGCAAATCTAAGGGTACATGTGTGTGTTCTGAAACTGACAACCAACGGGAAGGAAAGAACACGTGGAGGCCAATGGAGCGGTGGTCAAGGACGCATCAGCGCATGCTCTTGCACACACACCCACACACGCATGCCGTGCACAATCACACTTCCAGTGTCCCGTGAGGCAGGTCCTTCCACCTCACTTTCTCCACCCTCGCTTCTGTCTGGGTCCCCTGGCCTCGGTGCCCTGCCTGCCCGGCTCCCCACAGCCGTCTACCAGATGTAGCCTCCATCATCGGCCTCGGCTGCCTCCCCTTCCTCCTCCTCAGCTTCCTCGCCGGCCTCCTCCGTGTCCTTCTCCTCCTCGTCCTCCCAGCCAACACCACTCCCGAAGTCTCCTGAGAAGCCCACAATGTCATCTGTGTGGAGGACACACGGAGGGGCAGGTTAAGGGCCCACTCACCCCTCTCCTCCCATACCACCCCCTCCCCCTCCCCCTCCCGTGAGCTTACCGCAGTCAGGACTCCCATGCGTGCGGCTGCCGGTCAGCTCCAGGCCCAGCTGGTCCACGCACCAGCAGTCACCGCTACTCTGGTCACACTGCATCTTCCTATAGTAGCCGTCCTCATCGCAGCTCGGGATGAAGATGCCTGAGGGGACCCGAGGTCCAGGGGTGAGCCCAGGAGCTTAGCACCAGCAGTCCACTGCACAGCCGGGTCATTGCAGGTACTGACTGTGCCTGCCTCAGGCCATGCCCTTGAAGGCCTGCTCTGGTTCCCTGTGACACGTCTTCTCACAGGGGTGCTCCTGACCACGCAACAACAAACCCAAGTTTCACTGTCCTCAAGTTAGAACACTCATGGCTGACTCCCCAGTAGGCTTTCAGAAGCAGTGAAACATAAGAGGAAACTGCCCTCCTCCTCCTGCAGGGCAGCCAGTGAATTTGAACCAGCTGTCTTTAGGTTAGCAGCACTCCTCCCTGTGTACGGACTGGGCCACAGAGCTCCTTCCTCGGCTGGAGCCCACTCAGTTCCTGACCCACGTCCTTCAGCTCAGCAGTCTCACCAGTCCCACCACTGCTCCATCAATGCTAACCTCAGAGTCTGACCTGCCTCAGGGCCCAGTGCGCTGCTGCTCCCTCAGAGATCAACACACTGGGATCAGAGTGCTCGAGGGATGAGACACACAAGAAAATGCCAGTTATCAACGAGTCACCGCCGACTCATGGGCAGCCTGGGGTGTGTCAGAGAATTGTACTGCTTGAAGATTTTCAGTAGCTGAAAATCTTTACTTCAGAAGTAAACTGCCACATATTTCTCTCATGGTGCCCCTGTGTGGACTTGAACCATCAAACTTTCCTTAGCAGCCGAGTGTTTTTATACCACCCAGGAACTTCTGAGGGGAACCATGATGGTCTAGTTGGTAAGGCACTGTGCTGCCAACCTGAAGGCATATGGTTCAAATCCACCAGCTGTTCTGCAGGAGAGTAGACGTTCCCCCCGCGTGATTTACTGCCTCTGAAAAACTCCTGGAGGGTCAGCTACGAGTCAGTTAAGACTGGACAGTACAGAACAACAGCAACATGGTCTCCTGAGACACACAGACACTGATGAGGCAGATGAGGATGAGTGTGACAGGGAAAGGGATTGCAGGTGGAAGCAGTGGCTTCCTGGGAGAGACAGCGTGGCTGCAGAGCAGTTAGTGTGCACTTTGTGAGTGCAGGTCTCTCAGCCAGGCTGCTCCTGAGGACACCAAAGGCCACAGGACCTGGACTCCTGAGCGTCTCTCTCAACCTTGGACCCTCCTCTCTGCTCCCTAGCACTTCACACTTTCTCCTGCCCTTGGCTTTGCTTCTCAGTCTCCCTCCCCAGGACTCCCCTAAGCACCAGCTCTTCAGAGAGGCCTTTGCCAACCCCTTAAACTAACTCTGTGGCCCCTGTCCTGTTCCACCACGTGGCCTCCACCAAGCCCGTGCCCCAGTGAGTCATATACATGTCTCTTAAAGCTCTCGAGGAGGGTGGGGCTGGCCTGTCCCCCTGTCACTCTGCCTTCTGGGAGCTACATCTCTTCAGGGCTGGCGCTCAGATGTGTTGACCACAGGCCTGGGACGTGGCCTCGTTCCAGCTCTGTTGGTGTGCTGGCACAGTTAGCATTTGAATAGAAGTTTCTAGGTTCCTTCTGCATCCCAATCTCCAGCCTAGCATGGCAGAGCACCAAAATAGTGCTTAAAACGCATTTTTCAAAGTGTTGGGAGGGGGTCCCCAGCCACCACGAGGACCGAGGACCGAAGCAGAGACAGGTCTCCTCACCTGTCCTTGGTGGTCCCCTCAGAGCCCCGCCTTGCCTCCTTCCCTTGGTGCCCCACCCAGGACCCTCACCTGGCTTTTTCTTGGCGGCCTCCTGGATCTGAATTCGCTCCAGCTCCGCCAGGCAGGGGGGCTCTGGTGAGAGAGGAGCGCCTCTGAGAGGTGCTTGTGCTGGGTTAGCGACACAGCACCCCTCAAAACTTAGAAACCCAGGTAGAGGGATGACACACTAGGTTGTGGCATGATGGTGGGGAGCCCTGAACCTTCCAAGGTCCCTAAAACCCACAGAGAGCAGAACACAGATCGCACCCCAGGGTGAGAGGCCCAGGGCGGTGTGGACAGGATTCCTGTGACAGAAAAGAGTTGGCACAAAAACAGGGCAGCAAGGCCGCACGGTCAAAATGCTGCACACTGGTGGAGAGACTTGTGCCTGACACTGCTGTACACACAGATGGCATCAGGCCACCTCTCAGTCCCTGAAGAGGTGCTGCCACCTCACAGCTCAGGTGAAGACACTGGACGCGGGAAGACCCGGGCACTTGCCCAGGATTCCAAATAAACACACGACTGTGGCTGAGCTGAACTCTGCACTGCTTCCCTACATGACAGCGGAGCAGTGAGCCAGGCCGGACCTCCGGCTGCCACCCTCTGGGGAGGTCAGCTGACTTGTCAGGACCTCAGATTCCCCATCAGTGCTGCAGGCTTAGGGGACCTCTAAGCACACAGGGGCTCTGGCCTGAACTTTGACATGGCTCACTACGGTGCCATATCTCTGAAGCTAATGACAGCCCACGTGGTGCCTTCATCGGGCACAGAATGTGGCCTGAGCCAGGAGTATCACCAAGAAGCTCCTGCACCTTCAGGGTTGGGGCCTGTCACTTATGTCAACACTTCTGAGGCTCCTCAGGGGCCCTCAAAATTTTACATTTGCTCTTTTGATATTTCTTTTTAAATTAAAAGTGCACAAACTTCATGGTCCCCAAAACAAATCCACCGAGGAGCACTAGGAGATGAAAGGTTGACAGCATAGGGGATTGCAAGCCAGAGCTCTCAGTTAGGATGGATAGCCCGGAGGGAGCCTCTCTGACTTTGGGACTTTGGGTTTTTCTCCCTCCTCTGCTGACTCTTAAAGCAGCTTTCTGGAGCTAGAGGCAAGGTCCCCATGGGAGGGCCTGGGAAGGATGTGGAGAAGGCCTGGGGAAGATGGCAAGGCCTGGGGAGGATGGGAAGGCCTGGGCAGGACAGGAGGGGCCTGAGGAGGACGGGAGGGCCTGGGGAGGATGGGAGGGCCTGGGGGAGGACCTAGGGAGAAAGGGAGGACCTAAGGAGGACCAGAGGAGCCTAGGAAGGACAAGAGGGCCTGGGGAGACCAAAGGGGCCTGGGGAGGACAGGAGGCCCTGGGGAGGACCAAAGAGGCCACACTCACTCTCCCTCCAGAAGCAGAAGCACCACTCGGCAGTGGAGACCCGGCCATCCTTGTAGGTGTCGCAGGAGTTGAAGAAGGGGCGGATGCAGACCTCGTACTTGTCCAGGTTGATGGCAGCCAGTTCCGTCTGGTCCAGGAAGAGGTCAGAGCTGGTGTCCAGCTTGGAGAACATCCAGCCAATGGAGTCCTTGCAGCTGGCCCCCAGACTCTTGTCCAGCCCTGAGATCAGACAAAATCCAGGTAAAGTGCTCCATCCATCTGTCCCTCTGTCCCTCCATCTCTCCATTGCCTCGGCTGAAAGTTAGGGCAGCTCTGAATCTACCTTGGGGTTTTAGAAATTTACTCTACTTCTAAACAGAGTGACACTTGGTCTTGAAAACCCTTCAGGAAAAAACAGTTCCTTCCTATTCCTGAACAGCCATTCAAGGTGTAGGATTCTTCTAACCATCTTAAGTTCTTAATAGCCACATTTCTTCAATAGCAAGCTGGACTGTCTTAAGGACCTAACATCTGGCCGAGGGCAGCTCGGAGGGAGTGGGCCCCAGTGCACGGGTGTCCTCCCTTCCTCGGCCTTCCACCTCCCCGGCAGAGCAGCCCAGCTCCAGCTCCAGTACCGGTGCTGGCACTGACTCCGCTGCCTGTGGAGCCGTTCTGCTTGGAGTTCTCATGAAGGAGCTGGAACCAGTCCCGCAGCCGATCTCCCAAGTCTGCCAGGTCCTGGCCCGTGCAGGTCTCTGCAGGTGACAGAACAGGGGCAAAGGGCAGGGGAGGGGGGGGGTGAGTGTGAGGTGAAGCAACGAGCCTTGTCTAAGCTTGCAATGTTGTGTCCAGGCCAGGGGTCTGGGGGGGTGTCACAGACAGTACAGGAGAGAAGTCAACTCAGATGTGTCCTCTCCCTTCATCTTCCTCCTTCTTCTCCCTCCTCCAGCTCACACTTCCTGCGGCCGGGTCCCTAACCCCGCCCGGCCTTCCACACTCCCAGGGAGAAGAAATGAGATGAGGCCACCAGCCCTCCTGCTGTGTGTTAACAACTTCGCTGATTGGGTCCCTTGTCCCTGCAGAACGCTCCCTGGACTGGCTGTGGCACACTCCTCTGTACCTGCTTTGTCGTCACTGGCAGAGGTGGTGGGCTGCTCTGTAGGGCAGGGGCAGGGACCCTGGCATCGCACCGCAAGCTGCTTGTTGCTCAGGCATGCCTGCTGCTCCAACTTACACTGTGTGAGAAGAGAGGCCGGGTAGGTGCGCGGGGGACACCCTCACACACACCTTCCACACCTACCACAGCAGCCCCATCTGCTTCCCCATTGGAGGAGGAGGGACACACCCAAGAACAGCTCCAGAAACCACCACTCCATCCTCTATAGATCAAGGTGTTGAGTGATGAGGGGGAGCGGGGCACACGACTGCTCCCTTACAGTGCCCCCCACACAGCAGCGCAAGCGACTCCCCACTTCTTGATGCCGGTACAAACACCCACAAACACAACCTGTGGCTCAGTGATACTTTAAAATTCAGAGCACTTTTGCAAACGAAGCTGTGTTGCGAACCCCAAATCAGGCAGTTCGAATCCACCAGCTGCTCCACAGAAGAAAGATGGGCAATCTCCTCCCCTTGTGATTTACAGCCTCTGAAGACACCTTTGAGGGTCAACTACGGGTCAGATCTGACTTGATAGTGATGAGTTGGGTGGTTTGCTTTGTTTTCCACAAATGTTAACCAGTTGCACTCAAGTCATGCTAACTCACGTCAGCTCATACGTGTCAGGGTAGAACAGTGCTCGAATCCCTCACGGCTCGTGGAAGAAAATGCTGGGTTCTGCTCTGCTCTATGACTCACGGGTCTCGACACCTTTTACAGCACTGGGTTTGGTTTATAGAGTTTTTTTTTCTCACAGATATTGTCTAATTTGAACATTCTCCTCACAAAAATCCTCCCCCAACCACTGCTCCTTCCCACATAGTTTCTGCCTCAGAGAAATTATTTCCTCTTTTCCCAGAACATGGAAAACCACGCCCAGCATGTGAAAACTGGCCTGTGGAAACCTTCTACATCCTTTATTTATCCCCAACAAATTGGAGCTTTCCTCTCATCACCCTCTGAACTTTTGTGAGGCTCTTACCTTACAAAATCTAACCTGTAGTTACCTCTCCACTTGTCTCATTCAGACCTCGCCCCTCTGTGCACCTGTCCAAGGTCAAGGGCAGGGCCTGGCTCAGACCCTGGGTCATCACAGTGCAGAGTGCAGGGCCTGACTGCAGGCATCCCCCGTATCGTGTCCTTGCAGTGACTGAGCCTGTCCGCCCATATCAGTCGTGGGAGTTCCTGAGAGGCCCCACCTGAGTGGCCCCTCAGCTCCCTGTGGTCTCAAGTGTGCCCCCCCATCTTGTCTCTCTGCTCCCTATGGTCTCAATTGTGCCCTCTGCCCCACCCCCAACCCTGTCCTGTCAGCTCAGGTTCCCTGTGTTCTCAGGTGTGGCCTCCCCCGCCCCATGTCGTCCTTCCCTCTCCGGTCCCTGTGGTCTCAGGTGTGCTCCCCCATCCTGCCCTCTCTGCTCCCTGTGGTCCCAAGTGTGCCCTCTGCAGCCCCCTCCACCCCGCCTCTGTGGTCTCAGGTGTGCCGTCTCCCCTAGACATCCTGCCCTTTCCCTGTGGTCTCAGGTGTGCTCCCCTATCCTGCCCTCTCAGCTCCCTGTGGTTCCAAGTGTGTCCTCTGCACACACACACACACACACACACACACACACACACACACACCCTCTGTGGTCTCAGGTGTGCTCTCCCCCCCCAGACATCCTGCCCTCTCGGCTCCCTGTGGTGTCAGGTGTGCCCTCCACCTGAGGCCCGAGTTCCTCACCACTGAGCTGTAAGTGTGACCATCGGAGCCGCAGACAGAGGCGAGCTGGGCCATGTGACAGGGCTTGCACACAGTGTCTTTGTTCCCGTGGAGTTTCAGAGTAGGCTGCTTGATCCTACAGGAGAGGGTGGGAGGGCATGGAGGGGCGAAAGGAGAGCAAAGGGGGATTAGGGAGATTTATCCCATCAGGAAACGTGAGGTCAGGTGTTTCGACATAGCAGGTGCAGCTGGATCCCACCCTTCCCAAGACCCTCCCCAGCACAGAAGGATGGAGCTGAGTGGGCAGGGGATAGTCCCCAGCTCCCTTTCTCCAATGCTGACACCGTTCAGCAGAGCCTTCAGGACACAACTCCATGTCAGTGAAAGGTAAAGAGGAGGGCGCTTGGGGGTCACAGGCCTGTGAGCCACATCTGGCTTGCAGAGCTGTCTGGCCATCAAGATGGGGCTTCAATTTTCTTGTTTGTTTGTTTTCAATTTATTTCATTATCCGCTAACATTTACAAAATAGGAGCATTCACATAGAAATTTTGTAAGCATTTTGGATTCCTGGCCTTAAAATATGAAAGGTCTGTCCTTGTCTGTGACCTTCCCATCCAGCTGCCCTCCTTACACAGAGCCAGCATCCTCAGAGGCCCTCATCTACATTGCTTACCGGCCCACGTTGTGAGATTTCAACCCTCCATATTTAGTTCTACGATTTAGGAAAGGAAAGCTGGAGTCTTTTCTAGGATTCCAAGGCCAGGCAGGGTCTTGTGCTTGTGCTGGAGCTGGGGCACCCCAAATGCCCCCACAGCCTCCCTCCTCAGTGGGCCTGGAAGCTACAACCTTAATAAGACATCACATCATTGCATGTTAGAGCTCAAAGGAACCCTAGACTATCTGGTCAAGTCTATTTGTCTACAGACAGGGATGTCAGGATCCAGAGAGGAGATGGGGCTTCCTTTGAGTCCCAAGTGTCTGGGGATTGTTCTCACTGATGGGGTGATTGGTTTGTTTGGTATGTGATTTGAGTGAAAATTTACAAAGCAAATTGGTTTTCCACTGAACTGTTCACACACTTCCTGTTTTACAACACTGATTATAATGTAAGCACCCTTTCCCCACTTCCTCCTCTAATTCTCATTTCCATTCATCCATCTGTCCTATCCCTTCCTGCCTTCCTGCCTTTATCCTTGGGTAAATGCTGCCTTTTTGACCTTACGTGGTTGCCTATTGTAAGAAGTGAGTACGTCTTTGGGGTTACTGGTTACCTGATGTTGTTGTTATTGTCCCAGTCACTTTACGGGCTTATTGGCTAGGGAACTCCGTAAGGAACTGCACTGCCAACTCAAGGGCACATGGTTCAAATCCACCAGGTGCTCCTCAGGAGAAAGATGAACATTCTCCTCCCATGCAATTTACAACATCTGAAAACCCACTGGAGGGTCAGCTATCACTCAGTTCTGACTTGATGGCACACAACAACAACAACAGTATTTGGTTTGAAAGTTGAAGGATGAGTTTTGTGACTAAAGGCCATCGACTCTGGGATTCCATCTGACCTTTTGATATTTTTTTAGTTTTGTTCCACATTTTCCCATCCTACCCAGCATCTACCATGAGCCCTTTCGGAGTAGTCAGCAGTGATGGCAGGGCACCATCTACTTATTCTCATCTCAGGGGCCTGAAGGATGAGGTTTCCATGGCCCGTTAGTCCTTTAGTCTAATTGTTCCTCTTTATCTTTGCTTTTCCTCACTCTAATTCGTTCCCAATAGGGAAAGACCAAGAATTGCACCTTAGGAGTGTGGTGGCTGTAAAATCCATCCACAGATCCTTTGATAGTCTTCCCTTTAAAAGATGGAGCCTAATGTTCTTCCCCTACTACGGGGGCAGTTTTGAGTTACTCAAAGAGAATGTGGCAGAAGTGATGAGGTACTGACTTCTATGACCAGGTTATAAAAGGCATCTTGGTTCTTCCTCACTCGCTCACTTGCTCTGAGATCACACTTGTTTTATGGGAAATCATATTTAGCTGCCATGCTGTGAGGACACTCAGGGGGATCTATGCAGGCTCCATGTAACTAGGAAGTGAGCCCCAGCCAAGAGCCAGGTGAGTGAGCACACACTCCAGCGCCATTTAAGCCCTCAGGTGCCCACAAGTCCAGTCAACATTGTGCTTCAAACCTCTGTGACAGACCCTGAGAGAGAAGCATTCAGCGAAAATGTATGAGATAATATGCAGTGCTTTAGCCTCTAGGTTCTGAGGTCTCTACATTTTGTTCTGTAGCAATAGGTGCTCTAACACTGGAAAGGATCAATCAAGCTTTTGGTCTCCGGGTCTCTGCTCTCCTCACTTCCCAGCCCTCACCTGTGCTCCAACTTCTTGCGGCTGATGCACATGGCCCGCTGGTAGCCCTGCGCGATGCACACTTTGTGGCGGCTGCATTTCACCTTCTGGCAGGGATCTTTCGTTGTGTCCAGGGCTGCAGGGATGCAAGGTGGGAATAGAGGTCACCTGGGAATCAATGCCAGAAAACCCCGGGAATCCATGGCCCCACTTCTGAGCTGCACCCCCCTCCTTCAGCAGCCCTGGAGAACTACAGCCTCAGTTCAGAAGTCGCACCCCCATGTGAGCCTGGCTGCTCAGAGTCCACAGACAGAGTCAGGGCTGGGGTCTGCCTGCTGGCCCTATGTCCTCGTGGGTCAACATCCCCTACCCGAGAAGGGCATGTTACCTTCATCTCCCTGCTGATTGTCCTCCCAGCTCTTGATGTAGTCATCCTAGAGGACAGAGTTGGGGAGGAGGGATGGGCTAGAACGCACACCTGAGAGCAAGTGAAGGGTCAGCCCAACCCCAGGGCCAGGAAGAGGAGAGGGCTCCCACATGCCAAGTCTGCCCCACCCTGGTGGTGGCTGCCTATATGTCCCTTGTCCACCCAGGCCCCGTCAGCTGCCTCCTCCAACCTCTAGCTCCCTAAGTTCAGGCCCAGGATTCCCTTACAGCCTCTCCCACAAGTTCCTCGTCCCCATACCCCATGGTGGATGCTGGCATGGAAGAAGTTAGGACAAGGGTGTGAGGTGTAGGGGGTGTGCTGTACTCACCTCTACCTCCTGGGAACAGGGAGCAGCAGCAGGTTACAGGACACAGAGCAGGGGGAGAAGGAGAGAAACAGGAATCTCAGTGATGGCCACCTCACATCACACGGCCCCAGGCTCCCTTATGCACCAGCTGGCCATGGGTGCTGAGCAAAAGCTTTTGATTACCTGGATTGAATCATGTGCCCCCACAAATACGTGCTGTCACTAACTCCTAACTGCTAAATACTAACTCCTGTATCTGTGATCATAACCCCATCTGGAAATGAGGGTTTTTCTGTCATATTACCAAAGATGACAGAAGATGAATCAATGCCTTTGAGTTGTGGTACTAGAGAAAAATATAGAACATACTATGGACTGCCAAGAGAACAAACAGGTCTGTGCTGGAGATGGTGAAACCAGACTGCTTCTTGGAGGCAAGGATTTTTAAAATATATATAAAATCTTTATTTTATACTGGTTTACTTACAAAGTTCTCATAGATTGTTTTCACACTGAAACTTTTCTCTTTCCTTTACCCACCCCTCCCTCCACTCATCAAATTGTGTGACCCAATGATTTTAAGCCCCCCCATCCTCTGCTTCCCCCTCTCCACCTTGAATCCTCATATACGTTCTACAATAATGGTTTTACACAGTATTTGTCCTTATGGGACTGAGTTAGTTCACTTAGCATAATGCTCTCCAGTCCCTCCCAAGTTAGGTAGTCATTTATAAAATCATTGCTCCTGTGTGCTGCATAGTATTCCATTGTGTGAATGTACCATAATTTCTCAAACCATTCCATTGTGGTTGAACATTTGGACTGTTTCCATGTTCTTGCTATGGTGAGGAACACTGCTAAGCACATTGATGTACAAATCTCTGTTTGTGCCTCACTTCTCATTTTCTCACGGTATATTCAAAGCAGTGGAATAGCTGGGTATATGGAAGTTCTATGTTCAGCTTTTTGAGGAAATGCCAAATGGAGGCAAGGATTTTTAAGCTTCGTCTGACATACTTTGGGCATGTTGTCAGGAGGGACCAGTCCCTGAAGAGGGACATCACACTTGGAAAGGTGGAGGGAGCGCAAGAGAGGAAGACCCTGGATGAGATGGACTGACACAGTAACTGAGGTAATGGGGGCAGGTGTGTTGGAGACAGTGAGATTGACTCAGGACAGAGCAGGGTTCAGAGCTTATTGTGCATAGGGTCGCTATGAATCAGAGTTAACTTGATGGCACATAACGACAATAACAATGAGACAAAATTAGTGTGGGATGTGTTAAATCAAACTCTTCTGAGACAGGAGAGATTGAACAGGAAAGCGAGGAAGCAGATGGGAGATGAGAGATACAAGCCGTGTGAAGACAGCTGAGGAGCAGAAGCTGAGAAGAGACAAGGACCCTCGTCCAGAGCTGACCCAGAGAAAGCTCCCCCTAGAGCCGGCACCTTGAATTTGGACTTCAAGCCTCCTAACTGTGAGAGAATACATGTCTGTTTTTATTAAGGCCACTTTCTTGTATTGCTGTTACAACTAGCTCAGGTGGCGAGTCTGTAGAGACTTTGCCATCAACCCAGAGGCCACACCTTTCTGGCAGTTCAAACTTACCATCAGCTCAGAGGGAGAGAGATGGGTAATCTCTGTGCACAGTGTCTGAAACCCAGGGAGGATCAAGAGCTCCAGTGGGAGCCACTATTTTTGCACACAGGAACAGTAAGGGAAGGGTGATGGCTTTGAGAGAGTGAGAACCCCTCCCTCTCCTTCTGGCCTCAGCTGGTCCCAAAAGCCCAGCCACCAGCACGGTTGTGTGTGGGGCCATCTGTCCCCAAAAGCAGTGTTGAGTGTCCGAGCAAGGCCCCCTTCCCCTCCACTAGCACCCGGCTGGACTTCCCCTCCTGACACCTGCCCACCACTGGGAGTGGCTGGAGGAAGCCCCTCTCCTCCGACTGCACAAGCCTGTTCTCCACTCAAGGCCAAAGGTTCTCAGTGGTGGGGCTCAGATGATGGCTACGTGGAGGGGGCCAGCTCCCTCCCAAAGCTCTGACAGTCCTGTCCAACAGCTCAGATTTTACAGGATCCTGAAAGGCTCCCAGGGATCATCTGGTCTCCCCCATCAGGGGTCAGGGGAGGTCAGAAAGCCCCATAAGGAAGACAACTGTCCCGTAACAGAGCCCAGGACTCCTGGTGCCTAGCTGGAACTCTCACAACACTGTCCAGGCCCATTAGGGAGATGGCATCCCAACTGCTCCAGCTACAGGGGCTTCCTGTGGCCGTGGACACCAGAGTGGCCAGAGACAGAGCAGTTCCTGTGAGGTCTGGCTCGCTGTCATGAGATCTTAGACTCTTTCAGGCCCTTTCTCCTCCTCTGAGGCAGAAGCAGTTGCTAGAAACCATCCAGAAGGCCCAAGAGGCTATGCCAGAATGAAGCGGGCACTTTTGGGGCCTGGAGGCTGCAATATAGGGAGTTGGGTGCCGCTACCTCTGGATCAGACTCTAGAAGGGCCATGGGGCAGGACGGAGGCAGTGGGAAATCATACTTAGCTGTACCCGCACCCTGACTTCCATCCACATAATGGTCGGATATCTGCAGGCAGGTGGGGGGCACTGTGCAGGGGTGGGCACCCGAGTGTGTGCCAAGCATAGGTACGCGTATACGTACCTATATGTACGCATATATGTACCTATATATACGCGTATGTAGGTAAGCGGGATCACGGTGCATGCAGACATGTTCATGGCCATGACTCCTACTCCATGTGTGAGAGGAAAGCGTGCGTGCGTGCATGTGTGTGAGAGAGACAGCACGTGTGAGAGAGAGCACGTGTGTATGTGCGTGCGTGCACACACACACGCAGGCCCCCTCTAAAAGCATGCACATGCGCACACGTGCAGCAGCGGAACATGCTGGGTGTGCGTAGGAAAACAAGGATACTTTGAGGCGGTCCGTCCAGCGCCAGATGGTTCCTATCCAAATATGAAACAACAAAACCCACTACTGTGAGCAGCCTCCAGCTTTCACACTCGAGCACGAGGCCCTCCCTCAGCTTGGCCTTACTGCCTCTTCCCTGTGAGATGAGGCTGCGGCAGACAGCCCCTGCGTCTTCCCTGGGAGAGCTGGGCTTAGCCTGGCCTGTTCTCTCTTTCTGTCACTCCCTCTTAGCGCCTGTAGCTTTCATGCGTGTGTGTGTCTGAGCGCCTCCTTCTCCTTTCGTTCTCTCTTTGTAATATGGTCTCTCTGCATCTTCTACTCTAGCACATCTATTTCACACAGACATGCCCCAAGCGTTCTTAAGGGTCAGGATCCGGCTGAGAGGAAGGCCTGGACCGGCCGTCTGCGCGCTGGACACAGTAGCCCAGCTTCCAAGGCCACCTGAGCCGCTGGTCAAGCTTCAGAGGATGACTTGAGACGCAATTTCCCCTGTTTGCCAGTAGGAGGCGCAGGAGGACGTGAGCTCTGTGCGCTCAAAGGTGCAGCTCAGACCCAACTTCCCCCCAGGAGCTCCTGGAGGACAGAGATGTCTTCACTTCACAGTTCACTCATCACAGGTGAGAAGTGGAGGCTGAGAGTGCTGAGGTCTGGGGACACCATAGGACTGGACCTCCAGCATGCTGGGATCTCCCTGGGGTGGTCGTGGTGAGGTTGTAAAGAAGGCAGCATGGCTGGAGTTGGTGTGTCTCCTACCTTCAACCAGAGCCAGGAGCCCGTCAACCACCACCAGCACTTGAGCAGCTATGGCTGTGGCTGAAGGGCCATGGCTTCAGGTCCAGGCTCCTCTGTTCCTAGGTTGTCAGCTGAGTGCCGTGATATCTTCTCACCCCCTCTTACCCTGCCCATGCCTTCACTTCCCACTGTGCTGTGAACAGAAACCTCTGGGACTCAGGACAAAGTAGGTTCTCAAAGGTCAAGACTAAGGATTTCAGATTAGTGATTGCAGGAAAATGAGCTCTAAGAAAGGCATCTCACCAGCCAGCTCCTTTGTCAGAGGTCTCCAGGAGATGACCTCCGCCTGTGTCACCAACCTGGAGCATCAGCAAGGGAAGCCCCCTTTCTCTGACTCAATCTCCCTGCCCACCTGCAGCATCTAGCCCCTTCTGTACTCAAGTGCTGCCCTACGTCCTAGCTAAACCCATTGTCTTCATTGTGGTAGGGACTGTGGTCGGTAGAGGTGGAGGGGAGCCTAGGCAATTCTGGGTCCCAGACCCCTTACTGCCCTGCTAGGAAGGTGGGAGCAGCTAGCCAACTAGGAGTAAAGAAGAGAGGCAAAGACCCCATGCCTCCCCTGAACGGCCGATCTTGGCCTTAGCTGCCTCTACATCTAATTCAGGGAGATTAAAGGAGGTGCTGTCAGGGAGGGGTGGGTGTCCCAGAAGCCCTTGACAATAAAAGCTGTTATCTTCCCATTTGATGGCCATTTCAGATCTTAATAGACTTTAGTGGTTATGCTTATGGGGTAGATTAACATTGCCATGATCTGAAAAGAGAGGACAACCTGCTGTAGGAAATGGCTGTAGAGCAAATTAATGTTAATGACATTTTGATATAATGTGTTGATCAATAAAAACCAAAAAAAGTCCAAGTAGTGAACTTGTGCTTTCTCTTCTAGTTGTTTAAAAAAAAAAAAAAGCCAACACAACAAACCACAAACTTGTTATCACCAAAGAAGTGAGGGGTTTCGAGAAGAGAAAATGAGAGGGAATAGAAACATGGAGGTGGGAGGTGGCCACATGAGGAACCCCTGGAAAGTGGAGCAGCTACAGGGAGATCAGGGGCCAGTGGGATGCGAGGAGAAATGCCCCTCTGAAAGGTCTCAGGGGTAAGGTAGAGGAGCCATAGGAAATCGCAGGGCATCCTGGGAATGGTCTTCTTGGGGCAAAGCCCAGAGAAACACTTCGGAGCGCCTGACATTAGGTATTGGCTGCTCTATCTATAAGGCAAAGAGAGGTGTTTGTTCGTAGGTGTGAATAATTCCTCTCAATACAGTGGTGTCTATTTATGGCATCTGAGTGGGTTCATTAGCTGCTGTGAGAAA